CAGCTCCCATGGCCCGGAGGTCGGCTTCGCGATTTTCACGGACGAATGACGTCGACGGCGGCGAGTAGCGGCGTGCTCGCCGAGGCTGCGGCTGCGGGGTGTCGCGACGTAGGGGTCGTAGCGCGGCACGCAGGCCTTCGCGTTCGATCGCCGACGGACGGTGTTAGTTCCGGGCGCTACTTGAGTGCTGGTTCTTGGGCGGGTCGGCCCGGTGCCAGTCAGTTTGGCGGGCCGGCCTCCGCCTCGCCGCCGCTGGTCGTCGCGCCGACGGCCGCCCTTCGCAACGCACCTGCACCGTGAGGCGGCGACGGGTTGCAGTGGCTCTGTGGCTGCGATGTACGTATTATTGTTCACTCGTAATGCTCTATAATTATCTCTCCTATTAATTATATACTCTATTGATATACTATATATATATCACTATATTATATCATAGGTCGACCGCGCTTTGCCTTACTAGCTGCCACCGGGGGGAGGGGGGGCCTTAAGGTGAGGCGAATCGTCATGGGTAGGGAGGGTGTTTTCCATTATGACGTTTTCGGGGAGATGTAAGCTGAAGGTCCTGCTTTTCAGTCCAAGCAGTAACTGCAAGTTTAATAGATCTGAAGATACTGAAACACGCCATACCATATATCATACTTTAGTCCTGGGATACTCTTACTGATATCATAATGTGTATTACTTGACAGCGTTCAGGGTCGGCTGATGCCTGGGGGCGCCGCCGCCTTCTACATGGCTACTCATACTATTCAGCTGTTATCATAAGTCATACTGCGTAGTACTCTACTCGTGTTCTTCAACTCTTGATACTCGTATTATCTCATATTTCTATCTCTATTACTTACATTACGGTATCTATAATAAGTGCTTCACTGGCCAGCCACTCAGTGCTGTGACGCCCAACGAGGGTAGCGTACACGCTAGTCCCTGGGTGACCGACTGAATGGATGCTGTGTGTCGTCGCCTTGACTCACTGCACCCTCACATCATGCGGTCCCCGGCACGTACACTCCTGACCACAGAGTATTGACACGACGGTTGTATCTCACAACGTACTGCACGGGCTACGGAGAGCGCAGCGCCCACGGAGTCGTTTGGGGGCTCCGCTCGACAGTCGTCCCCAATCTGTACCGAGCGAGGTCATTTCTGCTCCGGTTAGGGTTAAACGGGTTTCGGGTTAAGGCGTTCAACAGGCTTCGGGTTGGGAGTAAGGCGTAGGCGAATACCTCGCGACACTCGGGTACTCCATACTCATGCGACACCGCCCCCTTAAGCCGTGCCTGCGTATCAACTTGAGGAATTTAAGCATAACTGCAATGCCGTAACTATGTATCTACGTCCCGACATGCAGACTTTCCCTCACAGCTTTCACACGTTATCATGCTATTGGATATGGCTAGCTGCGTTCATTAGTCCGCTCCGTCTTCGATCTGTCCTTGGACGTTGAGACTAATATATTTCGCGACGGTGACTTACGAGGTCTCAGTATACTTATTACGTGCATATGGGGTCGCAACTTTTACGCGCTCTACAACCACATCTACACCTGTAAACTCTACCTCACCAGCTATCAGCACTACACAACAATTAAGCTACCTAGGCTCACACGAGGCGTCACTTACTCCTCACAGTGCCAGTAGAATACGCTAACTGCGCATGCATCTCTTTACCGGCACAGTTACACCGTTGCATGCTAACAGTGCTCCGAGCGTTTTATCCACTGATGTCACAGTGGCTTACCGCATCACACTACCTGGCCTATCCCTGACTTGAAGCGCGGCAGGCTGGCAAGGCACTTGTTCTTGATGTCAGTCAGTGACGCTTCACTGTTCACGCGGGGATTGTGTTTACTAAGTGTTCTTACTCAAAGCTTCCTGCAGGAAGACACTCACTTCTCCTGTGTCTGTTTATATTGAGTTTTTATGCTTTCTTTTTTCAAAGTCCATTGCTGTGCTAGCTGGTCAATGATGCTTTTGATTATGTTTTGTTAACGATTTTTATGGTCGAACTGGTCTATAGGTAGCAGCAGTAGTTACTAGTCTACGTAGTCGTGTGAGGTTTATGCGTAGTCATCATTGAGTAGGTTGCGATGCAGGTTATTAAACGATGGATGTCTGACTAGTCTCGTGTCTTCCGGTGTCATTTTGGAGCCTTCGCTGCTTTATCCTCCTGCTAATCAAATCTGTAATTGTGTCTGCTGCGTCTTAACCTGTGTGGTGTTTGTTGCCATGTATCCGTTTTCCACTGGCTATGTGTCTCTGTATGCTCGTCTGTGTCTGTGTGTCATGCTGTATATGTTGTCCGTCGCTTTCCTCTGTGTTCTGCGTCAAGTGCACATTCGTCTGTATCTTGTACTACAGGTTGACGCCTCGAGCTCTTGCGTAGCTGTCACTCACCGGTCTCTGGGTGCGTGTGCCCTGCGCTTATGGGTGTCTGCTACCAAACCACGGGGCAGACTTGCTTTTGGCGTACGTGTCACGAATCCGTTCGCCACTCACCACGGCCCGCCACCCACGTACGACCGCACCGGCAGCAATGGCGCGACAGGAAGTCAATGACAGAGAGCTTTACACGAGATTGACGGGCCGCGGTGGTATCAGACGCGCCGCACGTACACGCACGTGCGCCACGCCATATCTCTGTCGGTGATGTAGACGGGTGTGCGCGCGCATTGCACGTGCATCTCGCGTCGGTCAGGTGTGTTTCGGTGGTGTCGGACTCAGCTCTCGTCAGTGCGCTTTTGCTAGCTCTGGCCTGGTCACCCCGGTATCTGTAGACTAGACCGCGTGTTTCGCTTGGCCCTTACAACGCCCGATAGCGCACACGTAAGTGCTGGTAGGCCTGTTGGCCTCACGGCTGGCTTGCCGGGCCTGACTTTGCCACTTCCTACGCAGCCTGTCCGTTTCTCGACTGTGGCCGGCGCGACGGGCTATGGATTCACTGCCTACTGCGGCGGCCGACGGGCGATCGTTTCAGATTCTTCCGTTACGTCTTTCCTACTGGGCCCAGGGGCAGCTTGTCGAGCCGAGCGGGCCGGCTCAGCGTGCAAATGTTAACTGTGACGATGGCTCCCGACCCTTGTCGTGATCCTGGTGGTCCCGTCCCCTGCGCCCTCATGTAGCTTGGCGGCGCGTCACGCGGTCTAGCACGCAGTTTGGGCGCACCACTGACGCTGCGTGCCGGTGCTCGTTCGTCGGCCGCGCGACAGCCCTGGTGGCCCCCCCAACGGGCCGCTTGGCATTATGGCTGTCTACCATGATCAGTCCCTGATCGCCGCGTGACTTGTTTTTTTTTGTTTTTTTTTGACACTTATTCGCACGTTTTAGGATTTCCTTCAAGGGCCGCAATTTGTTCTGCTTCGTCATTTGTCCTTTTTCTCGACTTGCTCGTTGCCATTGCAACTGTGCTGCTTTTGGTGCCGACAATTCGAGCAATGCGGAACGTTTTGTATGACTTGCCCTCCTTTCGTGGCTCCGTCCGCCTTCCCCTCGTTCGCGCCCTGTCCTGGGTGATCTCTGCTTCTTTTTCTCGCC